TTTCTGTGTATATATGTAGTTCTCAGAGAATCAGGAAGGAGACAGTGTAAGGACAGGATTTTGAATCAAGTTCCAATGTCTGAGCTATGTTTTCCTTCATTTTCATAACTGTAAGTCTGTACCATTGTTGAAATCCTTCAGATATACTTTGCAGGAAACTAGACCTTCAAATATAATAGGGAGAAGAGTTGGATTTTGTTTGTTTACATATAATGAAAAATGAAATATGATAAAAATCAAACAAAAAGAAGTTCAAAATAATTATACCATCCATAACCTTGAGTTCCACTCACCAGAGGTAGTTCCTTTCAACAATTTCTAATGTATGTCTCCAGAAGTTTTCCATTCATATATACTAATGTATAATTTTGAAATATGTAAATAAAATTAAAATAGAATTTAAAAAACACATATTCCTGAATGGAATTAAACCACTGTGCAATTTACTTCTTAAAAGTTAGCAATATCTTGAAAATTGCTTTATAATAGTGCCTGGGGACATACCTCATTCTTTTATGGCTGCATAGTTTTTCTCAGCAGGGGATGTATAATAATTTATTCAATTGCTTTAAAGATAATAATTATTCAATTGAACAGAGTGTGTTGGATTGAAGATATTTCTCCCAAAGTAAAGATCTCCTTTTATTTTTCCCTGGAAAATAAAAATTCAATTGTATACATATTGTCGGAACTGTGAGTTTTGGAGATGTTAATGTTAGCATCAGTTAAGATAATAGCAACACAAAGAAATACACAGCAACAAAAACCTTGGCTGTATAGTATCCAAAGCGTTGACCTGTGTTTTGAATATTTCTTTCCTTTGAGTACCTTGACAACTCTCCTTCTCGACTGTTGTGTAGACAACAGCCACCAGCATCTGAAGCACTCCCAAGGACAGGGAAATTTGTATAGAGAGGCTAAGAGGATAAAATGTCAGGCCAGGAGATTCAGAGAGGTTCTCTTAGGTCTCAGAAACTACATAATTCTTGGACTGGGAAAAAGAACCAAGGAACTACGTAGAGAGAGAAAGGAGTGGAGAAAAACCTGGGAGAGGAATAGAAAAGAACCATTCTGGGAAGTGGACATTTCCTTTCCTGTGTGGTTCTCATTCTCCCCTCACCTTTTCTAGTTTGCTACCTGTGATCAATCCTGGACAGGAAAATTTTGCTATTGTTGACCAAGGCATGATTGAACAAAGTAGTTGGAAATATCCTTGTGTGCTACCTCAATGGTAGACACAAGTCTCATTGCCAGCACTGTAGTCAAAACTTGGGGAATGAAGAAGAGAACAAAGACCCTTTGAGAAATAAAGTAGGTAGATATGGACAACTCTTTGGAAGAGTTTGGCTATAAAATGGAGCAGAGAAATGAGATGGTTGGGTTGAAGAAAGGTGTTAATTACAGTGTAAATCAAAACATAGACATTCATATCTTTAAAGGCTTTCTATGTACAGATTTTGGGTTGAGAGTTTCATCTGTATTATCTCAATGAATCATATCAACAACTGTAGGAGATAACTCTATCTCTTTATATCTACATAAATCAGGTAAGAGGTACAACTGTAAATACTTGGTCAAAGTCATGATAAATCCCTAAAAATAGCATTGAGTTATAAACTATCCTGTAGAACAACTGGTTCCATTTTTAGTTTCAGTTTAATATTCATGTTATATGAATTATTCTAAGAGATATGCTCAATAGTGATTTTCCATGGTTTAAAAATTTTGGAAATATATTATTCTTATTTTATTTATACCAGCCATTAGTCAATCTTCCATTTATCAAATGTAAATAATTTATAGTGAAAGATAAAAAGAATAAATGATTTTTTAAGACAATGAACTTTATATTGAATTTATTTCAAAATATTTATTTCTACTGTTTTTACTTGTATTTATATTGTTCAAAAACAATCGTTGCAATTTTGTCAAGTTTTTATTTTGACTTTTTCTCCACATAGGTAATACTTTCAAATTGATAAAATTCCCAAAGCATTAATTTTCCTTTGAACAATTTAACCTATGTCAACATTTCATGCTTAGAAAATTGTGGTACATGTACTATAATGGAGAAAACTTGAGAACGATTTCTAATGGTAATTATTTTGTAACTAGGTAAAAATTATTAAATTCCTTTTAAAAGCACTTGACTCATTCTACCTGGAGAACAGAATCTTAAGCTTCTAAATTTCTCATGATATTTTGGAGTTAGCTATGGAGTTATTACCTTAAGATAATCAAGGACGGGCTTATTATTGGAGAAAAATGAGTGTCTTTCTAATTTAATTAAATACATTTTTATTAAAGTCATATACATTTTGTATATTAAATCAGTAAGTTTATTTTTTCTCTTCATAATAACTTTAAGTATATTTTGTTTTTATAAAAAATGAAGATGATTAATTTTTTTTAGAGAGAGAAAGAATATATATATATTTAAATTTTTGGTGGACACAACATCTTTATTTTATTTTTATGTGGTGCTGAGGATCCAGCGCCCCAGAGCCCCATGCAAGCCAGGTGAGCGTGTTACCGCTTGAGCCACATCCCCAGCCCAAAGTTATATACATTTTGTATATTAAATCAGTAAGTTTATTTTTTCTCTTCATAATAACTTTAAGTATATGTTATTTTTATAAAAATGAAGATGATTAAGTTTTAATAGGAAAACCAGCAATAAAGGATTGATGCCAGAAAGCATTGAAGATATCACCTTTTGGCTTCCTACATTCCAGATATTTTCCACCACGAGTGAATAACTTTCCTTTATAACTTTTTCAAAAGCATGTTTTCATAAAATCAAACTCCTTTCTTCCATACTTGCTTTCTTAACTTTGATATAGAGTTATTATTGCAAGTATGATATTGGGTTGGCTTATAGATGGAAGGAAAGCTGAACAATCAAGCACTGTGCAAGGTAGAGACTGGCAGCTCCAGAGATCTTAAAGAGGGGGGATGTTGTATGACAAGTACTGCTCTTAAACTTGACCCAAAGCTGTCTCTGTCACAGGTCCTGTCCTTCTAAAAACTAGCATAGAAGGGAATGACTATAGCTAAACTCTTTGCGTTTTAGTACTAACTTCGTATGTTTCTATATTTTAGAAGGTCCAAACCTTAAAAGAAGACTGCATTTTTCTGTGTGGACTTAAATCATTATATGGTGAGAATAATGGGAATATAATTTTTATTTATATGGTATTTAAAAGCAAGCATAAGTTTGTCTAGATTTTAGCAAACATATTTTTTTATAGGAGACATTTATTTGTCTGGAATCCAAAAGTCTAGAAATCTGATATAATCACCCCTTCCACCCCTCCCCAGGAGAAGGGGAACTGGAGCAATCTTCTTCTGGTGGGTGTTTATCTCCCAATAGCAGCAAGTGCTGGGAACTTGGTGATATGGAGACAGAGAAGGAGGGGAAATCTAGTTTCTGTGAGAACCAGCATATTCACATTCTTACGAGGACTGTAAACTCCTTGAAAGTAAGGGGATGGGTTTAGTTTGTTTCTGTGATCTCGCTAATATACTCTTTGTACATAGTAGGTACTTAATACGTTGGTATTAAATAAAAAGACCCAATCTTCTCCTAGGGCATATGTGAAATGATTAATTTACTAAGAATCTGAAGGTAAATGAAGGACTTAGAGGTGATATAGGATGCAAAGAAGAAAACTGAGCTTTGGCTGATGGGAGGATAATGTATCAAGACACAAGTGATAACCATGAATTCATTCACCAAGAAATATTTACTGAATAATTACTCTGTATTGTACATGCACTAGGCTTTTGGGACAGAGGTATGAATAACATGAAGGAGGTTTCTCTGGTAGCAAGTAGTCTCTATCAGGAAGATTTAACATTTGACAAATAATACAATATTAATGATATATGCATGGTTCTATAAGAACATGGGGATGCTTAATAAGGTGAGAGTTAAAAAGACCTCCTTAGATGATACTTAATCTGATTCCTAAAGAAAGCAGTGGTCAGGTGAAGAGGAAGTCTGTTTAGGTAAGGAGAACACCATTTGCAACGATGCTGTGGTGGACAGGAACTTTGTTCTTGTGACAAACTGAGAGAAACCAGTGTGATCAGCAAGAGACATTAGAAGGGAATAGAATTAAAAGTGGTTAGGAACCAGATTATGCCAAACCATGCAAGACACTTTAAGGCTTGTTTTGCTTGCAAACAATGGAAACCTTTGGCTGACTTGAAAGGAAAGAAACGGGGGTAGTTATTGCAAGTATGATATTGGGTTGGCTTTTAGATGGAAGGAAAGCTGAACAATCAGCACTGTGCAAAGCAGAGACTGGGCAGCTCCAGAGATCTTGGAGGGGGTATGTTGTATGGCAAGTACTGCTCTTAAACTTGAGCCAAAGCTGTCTCTGTCACAGGTCCTGTCCTTTGGAGGGTCCTACTTTGGTCTCCCTAGCTATGCCCCTCTGCATGGAACAAGGGGTTCTCAGGGCCAAGGGTAAATGCCTACACTACGGCTACACCCACTCTCTAGCCTATAGCTTGTACCTGTGATTCAGTCTTCTGTCCAAAGGTTTCATACCTACTTTTGTAATTTGTGGGGCTCTTTTCCTCCAGAGGGTAAAAGATTCACTGAAGGTAAGGCCCTGGAAATAGTCATTAAGAGGTGCTTATGTTTGAAGATAAGATGTGAAGACTGAGATAAGCTGGTTCTCTAATATATTGAAGCATTGCAGGTCCTCAATACATTGCCAATCAATGAATGAACAGTATTAAGCTGAAGGGGTATACTGGCATGCATATAGGATCTTTCAGAGTCAGAAGAAGCCAACAGCTGAAAGAGAAGGGCATTTGTTTCAGAACTTTTAGGAATTGAAAAAGTGAATTTGAATTGACCTTCCAGATTTTTATGAAAGACAAAATATATCTTACTTAATGTATTGTAAGCTTAATTTATGACTTTTAAACATTTTGAAGTGTGGTGTATTGGCCTCCATTTGTATTTTTCACCCTGGGTCCTGCAAATATTAGGGGTGGGTCTCAGTGTGGAGTTTTTCTAAGATTCTTTCTTATATTGTGTAGATTCAGGGACTAACTTCAGTTCTTGTCATCTTTGAGACTCAGGCTTCATATATCCAGGAAAGAAAAATCAGTTGAGGGCAAGGCCACATGAAATATACACTGTTTTAGTCAGTTTCTACATCATCATTGTGACTAAAATGCACAGTGAGAAAACTTAGAGAAGGGAAAGTTTATTTGGGGCTCCTGGTTTCAGAGGTCTCAGTCCGTAGACAGCTGGCTTCATTGCTCTGTGCCCAAGGTGAGGCAGAGTATCAAAGGAAAAGGGCATGGCAGAGGGGAGCTGCTCAGCTCATGGTGGGGTCAGGAAGTATGGGGGAGAGGGGGCCAGAAGGAAGAGGATCCCTTCTAGGGTACTGTCCCAGTGAACTACTTCCTCCAGCCATGCTCTACCTGCCTACAGTTACCATCCAGTAAGTCTATTCAAACTAAGATGGACTGATTAGGTTATAGCTCTCATAATTGAATCACTTCACATCTGAGTACTCCTGCATCAACAGGAGCTTTTGGGGAAACCTCATACCCAAACCATAACAGACACCAAGATTAGGAGAAAATTCTGAGTATTGAATAGCTCTAGGTATGTGTTTTAAGAATTTTCAAGTTTATTCTGAAACCGGTACAAATTATTAAAATGTTTTGAAGGGGAAGGTGACATGGTTCCATCTGAGTTTTGAAAGGATCCCATTAGTTTCTTTTGGAGAATAGACTGGAAAGCACCAGCAGTGGTTGTTGTGGGGCTCCTAGGAAGTTATTGAAGTAGTGCAGGTAAGTTGGCTTGGACAAGAGTCTTGGGTGGTGGCAGTGGACGTGGAAAGAAATTGACAGAGACATGTTCAGAAATATAATCAACAGAAATTGCTGAATCATTGATTGAAGAAGGAGAATAAGAGGGTGATGTCAAGTATTTATCCTAAATTTCCAGCTTAGGTAAGAAGACTGACACAAAGCTAACATGAAGAGCTACATTCTTTTTTGAATCCACCTCAATTAAAGTTTTGTCTTTACCATTTCTGCCAAACTCTCCTTATCTAGGCCATCAGGGAATTCCATACAGTCAGATTAGTAGTTAATTCTCATTTATCTTCTTACCCTTCTATTAGGAGAACTGGACTGAGCTGGTCACTCTCTTTAAATCACTTTCTTAGGCTGTAATGGAATCTTCCCTTCAGGTTTTTTCATCTCATCTGCTGTTCCTTCTTAGGCTAATTTGCTAGAGCTTTCTCAAATTGCAATATTCAAATACTAGAGGAACTTCCTGAGTCCTTGGAATATTTCTTTTCTTTATTTTTGTCCATAGGTAAGTTTATTGAGTCCTGGCTTTAAATTCAAACAGCTACTTGCAAATTTATTATTCCCTTCCTAACTTCTGTGAACTATAGACTTACAGCCCACACTGCTGCCCAAATCTAGTACTTCCTCAGTTTTCCCACTCCTTCCATATTTGATAGCTTTCTTCTCAGGCCCAAAACTATGAAGTCATCCTTGATCCCTTTCTTTCATGCCCACATCTGATTCATCAGAAAATCCCGACAGCATGCTCTTTGAAACATATTCAGAATACACCTGAGTCCCACAACCTGCTCTGTCCCAGCCACTACCACCTCTCACCTGGAAAAGCGCAGCAGCTTCCAAGTAGCAGGTACACTTATTCCAGTCCAGCCAATCCCCTCCACGGTGGTCTTTCCAAAGAAGAAAAGAAGCCAGTCATCTTTCTTTTAAAAATCTGCTGCCATTTTATGTTGGATAAAAAATCAAAGCCCTTATCAAGACCTACCTGACTCCATATTATTTGACTGTCTGTTACCTCACTAATGTCATCTCTGATCACCTGTATGTTTCTCTGCAGTAGCTACAAAAGGCCTCACAGATATTCCTCAAAGACCCGCATCTGCTTCCACTTCAGGATATTTCAATTACTGTTTTGTGTGTCAGAAATAACAATTGCTTCAGCTATCCACATTACTTTCTCTTTCACATTTGTACAGATCTTTGCTACCAAACCATTTTAATAGTAGGGCTTTCCAGACTCCCCTTTTACAACCAAAAACTCACGACCCTCCGACCATCACCATCACCATCTTCTTATTCTGAGTTATTTCTATTCACATCACTTACCACCATCAGACCTGTTGATGATCTCTCTCCTTTCCCTAGAATGCAAGCTGTAAGTTCACTGGGATTTCGTCTCTGTTTTACCCCAGCAGCGGTGCCCAAGTTGCCTGCTGCAAGTGTAAGAGTACTGACTAGTTTTGAAAAGAAGAAAGTTCAGACGTTAGTGCAAAGGTGACGAAGGCAGAACTGAAAGAAGGATTTGGGATAAGATGAGGAAACTGCAAGGCTGGAAAAGTGAGACTAAATTTTTATGTGGGGGATTCTTGAAAAAAAAAAACAGAATAAAGCAAAGTTTAATAGGAAAAATGTGATATTTTCCAAATTTTGCCCAGGGCAGACTCAGCCTGACTCATACTTAGATTTTTGACTTCCAAAACATGTCCTTTGACCACTGACCACTCACTGAAGACATAATGTAGCTGGGTCTGATGTTTAGAAGTTTTGTGGCCTGGAAATTTCAAATGATAAATGGCTAATCTTACCATAAAATAAACAAGATGCATCTTAAAATAGCTTTTAAATACATGGAATCTCATATGCTCTCTGATTAGGCTTGATAAGGTCTTGGGAAAATAATTTCAGCCCAACAGAGAAAAGAACTAAAAGTTGGGTCATTCAAGATTGATTTGTTGGTCTGCATAATTCAAGCACTTTATTAAAAAATAAATATTTTTGGTGACGAAGTTGAAAGATTTATGAGACAATGATATCAGTATTGGTGTATGAATGAAAAATGCTGTAAGAGGAAATAGAGATTAAGAACTTGATAAAGTTTGGCATTATTTTATTCTTTCCAGATAAATATGGGGATGCAGGGCTTGTAGTATGCACCATCCTGTTACTGTGTCCATCATGTGCTATACAACTATTTCTGAGTATGATAAAGACCCAACAAGGGTTGATTGGAGCTGATGGTAGTTTTCTCCATGAGAAAAGAGAAGTTTCTTGAAGTTTTGTGGTTGTTGAGCTTGCCTTATTCGCTTGAACATTATTGTCTTGTTTATTTATCCTGTCCCCATGCCTCTAATCAGTTAACATTTTTTTTTGCAGTCTTTCCATCCTCTCTCACATCATTCCTCTTCTTCCATCCTCACTGCTGCTGCCTGTTTAAGTCAACTTCTAGGGGTTCTGCAACCACATCTCCTTGCATCTAAGCTCTCCTGGTGCTTCATGTCTTGGTTAACATAAAGACTTTTCATTGACTTTATTTTAGCTAGTCTGGTAAGTGTGAAATGGTATTTCTTTTTTCTTTTTTTAAATTTTTTTAAATTGTTGGTGTACCTTTATTTTTTATTTGTATGTGGTGGTGAGGATCGAACTCAGTGCCTCACACATGCTAGGCAAGTGCTCTGCCACTGAGTCACAACCCTAGCCCGTGAAATGCTATTTCATTGTGCTCATAATTTGAGTTTCTTGAGTGATTGGTGATCGTTAGCTTCTTTTTTATACTTATTTGCCATTTGGATATCCTTTTGTAAAATGCCTTTGAAATATCTTGCTCATTTTTCTATTAGATTGTCTGTCTGATTACTTTTAAAGACCTTTTTCAGTATTATGGATCAAAGCTCTTTGTTGATCGTGTGTATGGTAAAGATCCTCTCCCAGTCTGTGGCTTATTTGTTCACTCTCTTAATGGAGTCTTTTGCAAAACAAAAATTTACTACTATTAATGCTGTTCAATTTATCAATTTTATCCTTTGTAATTGGAATGTTCTATGACCTGGTTAGGAAATAAAACAATGTCCTCTACTGTATTCCAGAATCTTTGTCATTATTTTTGCCATATTTATTTATTTATTTACTTATTAGGTGTAGATGGACACAACACAATGCCTTTATTTTTATGTGGTGTTCAGAATCGAACCCAGGTCCTGCCCGTGCTAGGCAAGCGCTCTACCTCTGAGCCACAATCCCAGCCCCTTGTCATCTTTAGATTCATAATACATCTGAATTGATTGTCATGTATGGTGTGAGATTATTTTATATTGTTATTAAATTACAAATGATACTATTAACAAAAGGGGCTTTATGTGCTGACTACTCTTCAGTATCACCTTTAACAAATAGAAATCATGTTTCCATATACATGCTTGTCTTTTTCTTGACTTTCTATTGTTCCATTGGTCGGCTTGTCAAAATGTGCAAAGTCATGCTGGTTTTGTTGTTTTCTTGGAGAGAAAAGAAGTACTTTGAGTCTAGATTTATGTCAAGAAAATACAAATAATAAAATATGTGAAAAATCTGTGTAAATATGTCATGATATATATGTATCACATTTATGGAGGTATAATGTATTGTGAATATAAAATTATATATATGAACATTATATATGTCATATATATTGAGGTATAATTTACATATAGTAAAATTTACCTCTAGCTGTTTAGTTTAGTGAATTTAGACAAATGCCTACAGTTTTGTATCTACACCATAATCAAGATTTCCATTTCCAACATCTCTAAATTTTTCTCAGTCCCCTTCCTGCCAATTTTTCCCCTAGTCTCAGTCCTTGACAAGAACTGATTGCCTCTGTCCCTATAATTTTCATTCTCTTAACAATGTCTTTTTCAGGACAGATAATTTTAATTTGGATGAAGTCCAATTTAACAATTTTTCTTATAGATCATGACTTTGATGTTGTATCTAAGAAATCTTTGTCCAATGTAAATCTTTTCTCCTATTGTTTTATAATTTTAGGTTTTTGTGTTTAAGTATATGATCAGTTTTCTTTTTCTTTCTTGTACTGGGGATTGAATCTAGAGGCTCTCAACAGTAGCCACATCCCCATCTTTTTATATATTTTATTTGGGGACAGGGTCTTGCTTATTTGCTCAGGCCCTCGCTAAGTTGCTGAGGTTGGCTTTGAACTCACAATCCTCTTTGCCTCAGCCTCCCTAGCTGCTGGGGTTATAGGCCTGCACCACTGCAGTCAGCATATGATCAGTTTCAAGTTAATTTTGTGTATGATATGAAGTAAGTCAAGTCATATGTAGAATGTGTATATAGGTCTTTCCAATATACTTTTTATTTCTTTAAGTTAAATAGTATAATCATTATTCCAAAAATTAAATGGTAGTACAGGTATATATAATATAATTTAGGTACAATGTGTGGTTCTGTTTCTATTAAATAACCATATTAAGAGTTTTTCTTCTATTTAATAAACATTTAGTTGTGTTTTAGTTGAACACAAACCCATCCTTGTATCACCACTGGTAACTGATAATAGCTCTTTCCCCTATATTTTTAAAAATCAGCATGCCATTTTGTGCAAAAAAATGTCCTCCTGGAATTTTAGTGGAATTGCACTGATTTTATAGACCAGTTTAGGGAGGGTTAACATCTTCACATTATGGAATCATTCAAACCACAAGGCCACTGGATCTCTCCATTTATTTATAGTTTTAATTTATCAGTTTTATAGTTTTCAACATATAGATTCTGTATACATTTTTGTAAGATTGATATCTAAATAGTTCATGCTTTTTGGTGGTGCTTCAAATGTTACTTTTTAAAGTTTTATGTTCAGTTATTCTTGCTAGCATGTAGAAATACAATTAATTTTCTTTTGATACTGGCCTTAACTATTTCCCCAAAAAACTTATTTCATTGCTTTTAAACATTCTTTAGAATTTTTTTTTTATAGACGATTGTGATAATTTGTATCTGAAGTGTCACCCAAGGGCTCATATATTGAAAGGTTGGTCCTCACTAGAGTAATTTTCATAGGTAGGACCTACTTGAAGGGAAGGCGGTCCTCAGGAGTGTGTCTTTAGGGACTATATCTTGTTCTTGGCCTCTTTCTTTCCCTGCTCTCTAGCCATCATGAGGTGAGCCACCCTGCTCCACCTTGACCTCCTGCCCTGATATTTTGCCTCACTGCAGGTCCATAGTAATGGAACCAGTTGGCCTTAGACTGGGACCTCTGACACCATAAACCAAAACCAATCTTTCCTTCTTTAAATTGTTTTGTTGAGGTATTTTATCACAACAATGAAAAGCTGATAAATATTAGCCTGTGAATAGAGACAGTGTGATTTCTTCTTTTAGTGGAATTGCACAATTTTCAAGACACCTATTGTACACAGAATATTTTTACACTATTCATGTCTTATACATGTATTTAGGGTAATGATATCTAACTCATTCCACCATCATTCCTACCCCCTTTCCCCCTCCTTTCCCCTCCCTCCCCTTTGCCCTATCTAAAGTTCCTCCTTTGCTCCCATGCTCCCCGCCTCCAATTGCCATTATGCCGTGTGTGTCCTCATAAAAACAAACAAATAAACAAACAAAAACAAAAACAAAATAAAACAAACAAAAAAACCCCCAAAACACCACTGGGCTTTTGTTTTTTTTGGGGAATTGCTTCACTTAGCATTATATTCTCTAACTTATCCATTTCCCTCCAAATGCCATGATTTTATTCTCTTTTAATGCTGAGTAATGTTCTATTGTGTATATATACCAAAGTTTCCCTATGCATACATCTACTGAAGGGCATCTAGGTCAGTTCCATAAATAAGCTATTGTAAATTGTGCTTCTATAAACATTGATATGGCTCTGTCCCTGTAGTATGCTGTTTTTAAGTCCTTTGGGTATAGACCGAGGAGAGGGAAAGCTGGGTCAAATGGTGGTTCCCCCAGTTTTCCAAGGAATCTCCATACTGCTTTCCATATTGGCTGCACCAATTTGCAGTCCCATCAGCAATGTCTGAGTGTGCCTTTTCCCCCACATCCTCGCCAACACTTATTGCTGTTTATATTCTTAATAGCTGCCATTCTGACTGGAGTGAGATGAAATCTTACAATAGTTTTGATTTGCATTTCTCTAATTGCTAGAGATGTTGAACATTTTTTCATATGTTTGTTGATTGATTATATATCATCTTTTGAGAGGTGTCTGTTCAGTTCCTTGGCCCATTTATTGATTGGTTTTTTTGTGTGTGTGTGTTAAGGTTTTTGAGTGCTTTATATATTCTAGAGATTAGTGCTCTATCTGATGTGCTTGTGGTAAAGATTTGCTCCCATTCTGTAGGCACTCTATTCACCTCACTGATTGTTTCTTTTGCTGAAAAGAAGCTTTTCAGTTTGAATCTATCCCATTTATTGATTCTTGGCTTTAATTATTGTGCTATAAGAGTCTTATTAAGAAAGTTGGGGCCTAATCCAACATGATGGAGATTTGGACCTAACTTTTTCTTCCATTAGGCACAAGGTC